GGTTACCGACTTCGAAGCCCACAGAGACATCCTCCGAGTGGACAAACAAATCTCGGCTCTGTTCAAAGACAACCCCGGAGTTGTACATCGACTTCACCTGGTTCGCCGCCACCGACAACTATCGAAACCATGATGTTCGAGTATCATCATCGTCTCCAAGAAAGCTGACAGAATTGGAAAAACGTGAAGACAAAGTGTACAAGAGCAACAGGGTTTTCCATTCCGTGAATCAACCAAGAAAACAACAGAGAAATTGCTGAAAGAAACGCGAGAAAATGGCATTAATGGAGATGGTGGGATGATCAAGGTCTAAGATTACTACTCGATCTGCTATAAGAGGTGCATAAAAGAGATGTACGTTGAAGAACATGGAGGAGATCAAATGATCAAAGCTCAATCTCTGGGACAAGCTTATTGATTATTGATGGAAGGAATCTCGCCGGAAATTGAGGGAAGTTCATCGGAAAGAAGATGAGTAAAATGACTAAAACACTCTCATTATTTGAACTTTTAAATTTTTCCGGTGGGATTTGGCCGACAATTTAGCCGGCGTGACCAAAATTGATAGAAATTGCATAGTCAAGGCACTAAATTAACATTTTTAAAAGTCAAGTGTTGCAATTAAAACAACTCCAATAATCAGTAGACCAAAATTGAAATTTTCTCCAAATACTCAATCTAATTATGAATTTATGATATATTTTCTCTTAAAATTTCATTTTCTTATGTGGTATTAGTTTTTGTATTTTATTATTAATTTTTTTTTAATTTGTGGTAGAGTTGATTAAGTCAATTTAAAAAAAAAAAAATTCTTAAATTATCATTCTCTTATGACTTTACTTTTTTTTTTTTTTTTGTATTTTATTACTAATTAGCCTTTTTAAAATTTATGGTGGCGTTGCTTAATTAAATTTCTGAAGAAAATGAAATTTTAAGAGATAAATTTCAATAGTTATATCATGGATCAGTGTGCATGTAATAACATGCGCTTAAGGCATTCACATATATATATATATATATATATATATATATATATATATATATATATACAATTCTAATAAGAGCCAATAATGTTAGGCCCTTAACTGGAATAAAAAAAATATCGGTACTACTTGTTTCTTAAATTGAATGGTTTATAGTATTTTGATTTTAGTATTTTTAATGATTTTCCTTATTTACCCTTTATTATATTATTTTCTTTCCTTAAATAACCTTACATTCCGTTAGTATTAACTTTATTAACGGAATATTCCGTTAATTATTTAGTATTCTTAACCTACTCATTAATTTCTATAAGAAAGGTCTTAGGTTCGAATCTCATTCCAATTAGAGTTAGCATAATTGTTAAGCATATACTAGGAATATGTTAAAATGTATTAAAAAATAAAATATAAAATTTAACATAAACCTTGGTCAAATAATTAGCCCGACTAAATACATAGCATTCAATGATTATAAATCAGGAACTTTGATAATCATTTGATTTTCTTTCATTAAAAAAATAATAAATATAAGTACAGTTTTTTTTCTTTTTTCAATTATGCTTTTATCAATGCATGAAAACTTCTAAAGAAATTTGTAAGATAATTTTTACTATATTATTATAATAATATCTATTGTAACCTTATATTTTGAATTATTTATTATCATCATCTATTGACAGCAATTGTCATTGACAAACTCTCAAAACAATTTGTCTCAACAACGATTGGAAATTAAAAAAAAAAAATCAATGATTTCATTATTGTGAATGAAAAGTATGTACGCCACTTTATTCAATCGTTATGCTGTGGAACTATGTCCACCTTGCAATGTGGACACAGTTTTATGTTCATAATTACTGAACTATATGTTCATAATTATAAAGCTATATATTCATAATTTTTGAACTTCATATTCATAATTATTGAACTCTATCACAATTACAGGACTCTATGTTCATAATTACTGAACTATATGTTCATAATTATAAAGCTATATATTCATAATTTTTTAAATTCATATTCACAATTATTGAATCTCTATATTCATAATTACAGAACTATATGTTCATAATTATGTTCACAACTCTATATTCATAATTATGGAACTATATGTTCATAATTTTTGAACTATATATTCATAATTATGAACAGTTTTGGAACCGTGTCCACCTTGCAAGGTGGACACGATTCCACATCATAATTTTCCCACTTTATTTCTCTTATTACTTAAATTAAAAAATAAATTAGTAGCTACAACAAAAAATAATATATATATATATATATATATATATATATATATATATATATATATATATATATATATATATATATATATATATATATATGCATTTAATTAATTTAAAATTAGATGTCTCACAACACATGAAACATGTAGGTGAAAACTACCACTACCAAATATCAACATGTGATTGTAAGATAAAGAGTTCACAACACAACTAAGATCTCAGTCATATACACAACAAGACAAATCTAAAACTTCATACACCATAATCTCATTACATGATGAATCCCTCTATGATACTACTAATAAACCAATTGCACATGACACACTACCAATAACAAATTAAAAAAAAAAAAAAAACATGTACTGAAGATGAAAACAATAACAATGCTACCTAAAAGAGAATTAGAAAAATTTAAACCAAAAATAGTATTTATTTAGACTATCGCTTTTAGACTTAGTACTTAGATTAACGTTATTACAAAGTTGTAAACATTTATTTTTGTGACAGTTATATATAATCAATCTCTCATATATTATCTTGCATTTATATACTTTAAATTACCGATTTAAATAAATAAATTCAACATTTATTTACCTATGCATGAACATCTTCTATATAATATTGCATTGATATACTTTGAAATACTTATTTAAAAATAAGTATTGGGCATTATCTTATTCGCGCAAAGCGCGTAGAAAAACTAGTATATATATATATATATATATATATATATATATATATATATATATATATATATATATATATATATATATATATATATATATATATATATATATATATATATATATATATATATATATATATATAGAGGCGGGTTCAGGTGCGGCAGTGTCTTACGGTGCGGTTATTTCTTACGGTGCGGCAACACCAATAGTTCACCAAATATGCACCATCAACGTTAGGAAATACACCACACAAAACAGAGTAAACAGAGCCCTGCATCACCAAACACACACCATTAGGTGTGAGTAAAAACACCATACACTGTCCGGAAATACACCATTGGGGGTGGTGAGTTATATGGTGTGTTTTTTTGAGTCTGTGGTGTATTTTGTGATGTTTTATTACATTTCATTGGGGTGTGTTTTTATTACACTGTTGGTGCATATTGTTAACACTGTTGGTGTATTCTGGAATTTGACCGCACCGCCGCACCGTAAGACCCCGCCGCATATGAGCGCTCTTCTATATATATATATATATATATATATATATATATATATATATATATATATGCATGTAAAAAAATAATAATAAATCTATAGGTACAGTCATATTTAGTGTAATGTTAGTTTGTGTACTTTAAGCTTTAGTGTAATGTTAGTTTGTGTACTTTAAGCTTTGATTTTATTAAATCTATAAGAAATATTATGAACCTACTACAGAGTGATGGAAATAAATATGATATACATATAGTTTAGTATATATGTAGATTAGGATTTAGACAATGTCCCGGATGGCATGGAAGACCTGCTATGGGCTGACGCCCATAGCAACCCAACTCTCAGGATTAGATAGTGCTCTCGGCGGAGGGCATCTGTCGCACAGAAAAAATCATATTAAAGAAAATACTATTAACATATATATTACGCGATGAATGTTATATTAAACATTATGTGCATTTAATGTATTACTTATTTATACATAAATCTTTGTTTCTATAAACATATAGATCAGAAGCAACCTTATAAAAATATTATAAAATAAATGAAAATTCATACGATATACATGCAATTTAGTGTTTATGTATATTAAAGTTAAGATTTATAAACATATAGAACAAATATTATGAATATAATATAAAATAATATGCTTTAGTTTTCAAAAAAATATATATATATTATTATTAAACATGATATGTCAGTTGAAGGTCAATTTAAAATGACACCGTTTTAAATTAGGATACACCATCCGTGATATAATTTGCGAATAAATTTAGGAGAATAGTTATTTCTTCTCTCAAATATTGTCTACTGAACCAGTGAGCTAAGTCTGTGCATGCATAGGAATAGTCATTTGTTATACAGTGCTAGTTGGACCATGATCGTCGAATGAAAGTGTAGTAAAATTAAAATGATACTCCAGTATTGTTATAATGAAACTAGTGTGTGTGAAAAATGAAACTAAAAAACAGAGCTTATTCAACAACATATATTGCCAAATGAAATTGTAGTATAATTAAAATGATACTTTAGTGTTGTTATAATGAAACTAGTGTGTATGAAAAATGAAACTAAAATTCAGAGTCATACAAAGATCATATATTGTCAAATGAACCTAGAGTGCAATTAAAATAGTACTTTAATATTACTATAATTAAACTAGTGTGTGGGAAAAATAAAATTACAAAATAAAGCTCATGTAATAATGTAGTGTCAAATGAAACTGTAGTATAATTAAAATGATACTTTGGTATTGCTATAATGAAACTAGTGTTGAAAAATAAAACTGAAAAACAGAGCAATATTATCAAATGAAACTAAAGTTTAATTAGAATAACTTGGAGGGTGTGGTTGAGTGGAAGGGACTCATCCATCCTTAACCAAAGGTCAAGGGTGGGAATGGAGTAGCCTTAAATTTCCATGCCAAAAAAAAAATTTAATTAGAATGATACTTACTTCATAGACCATATTGCTACATAGACCATGGTCCATAGTAAAATTGCTAGTGATGGGCTTATGGGCCTTATATCAGTCTCGAGCCCGTGTTGATTTTCAAGGGAAGATAGCCTTTTGAAGATCCATTTTCTCACACACTTTTCCCAACACTGTTATGGAACTGACCAAAATTCCCTGTATTTTATTTTCTGTTCTGCTCTGTTCTTTCTAATCGATACTTTTAACCAGGAGAAGGGTTTTTGGTGTGCAAATTGAGGAGAGGAAAAGAGAGAAAGAGAGAGACAGTGAGATGGGAAGATTATTTCTGGTGGATCTTGAAGGCAGGACATACACCTGCAAATCTTGTAAAACCCAATTGGCCCTTGTAGATGATCTTATTTCCAAGGTATCATTTTTCCCTCATTTTTTATGGACCGCTTCTGTTATTAGTATCTTTATTATTTATTTATTTATTTTTATTAATGTTTCTTCAAACATAGACATTCTAGCGTTTTTATTGGAAATGTTCAGCTTATGGAATTGGAATGAGCTGTTACATGTCCTGAACGGCTTCTAAATTATGCATGTGAAATGAATGTGCAGTGGGTATCAGTGAAGTTTTATGTTTTCTAGGGTTATCCCAGTTTCCCTTTGGAAATTTCTGTATAATTATAATCTTCAATGTATAAATGTTTGTTCTTGGAAGTATATTATAAGTTTATAAATTGGTTCTTGGTTGCCAATATTGGTGTTTGAAAAGCATTCTTGGAAGTGTAATTGCAATTTTTGGTGAATTGAAATTTGATCCTTGGCTGCAAAATTGGAATCAGAAAAGCATATGGGATTTGTAATTACAATTCATGGTATATAAATAAATTGGTTCTTAAATGCAAATGTTGATGCTCGAAAAGCATTAGTAGAAATCACCCAGTGAACTTCTTGATTTCGGGGAGTATGGAATCTGTAATTCTGCTGATTGTTCTTCGTTCGTTATGTTATGCAACCCACTTTGTTTATCTCTATTAAAGATTTGCAGAAGAGGTAATATACTTTGGATGCATGCCTTCATATTACCCCACCAAATTCGTGTCTTTTCATTCCTAATCAGCTAATACTGAATGTTAATGTTGCAATTAGAGCTTTCCTACCTAAATGTTGTTTTTTTTTTTTTTAAAAGTTCTTTTTTGGACGAACATTTGCTATATCGTAAGCTGATAATTGCTTTCTTATCATGACAGGCTCTTGATTGCTGGAGAAGAAAGGCCCACCTATTCAATAATGTGTGAGTAACACAATGTTATAACTGCCTCATATTGTTCATGGACTAAGTCTTTCACTATTGAACAATCTTGCCTTAAATCTGCATTTTCAAAATGTGACCAAGGATTCCTTTAATCAATTTCGGAGTGTGGAAAACATGACTCCATTTGCAAAGTCGATTTTTACTCGCTGACTAATTTGCTAGGTGCTTTGCAAAATACTACTTCAATCAAATGTTGCTCCTTATTATGCATGGTATTATGTTTTGGAATTTTCCTACATGTTTAACCACGGGATGCGATTAAAAACTCCCCTACGTAATTATGATGCTCCCTTCAATAAAGCTCGTTAACATTTTTTTTTTTTGTCTGTTGCTACTCAGAGTGAACATCACTTTTGGACCTCTTGAGGAGAGGCCAATGATCTCGGGAATGCATACAGTATCAGATATATTTTGTTGCTGTTGTGGGCAAATTGTTGGTTGGAAATATGTACAACCCCCCCTCTCTCTCTCTCTCTCTCTCTCTCTCTCTCTCGTTGTGCATACTCAACACGAGCTTGTTTGCTGCTTCTTATTCCTTGGATTATTTAGCTAATAACAGGTTGCATTATGTGTTTTCCTGAGACAGGAATCTGCATGCGAAAGTAGCCAAAAGTATAAAGAAGGCAAATTTGTTCTTGAAAGGTATATTCTGTCTTTGATAACGGATTGCAGATTCTCTTTTTGCCCACTGAAATTTTACTCTTTTTGACGTGTCGTGTGATATTTTGAACAGACGGAGGATCATTGACAGTATGGACTCTGAACTCTACATTGATACTCGTGCTTCCACAAGTGATACTGAAGATGCATAAAGTTTTTATTTTTTTCACTTAACTTTAGCAGCGGTAAACTTTCTAAGTTGTAAAAGGTGCCTTGCCCTTTGTAGATACGAAACCAAGAACCCGGAGCTCAGCCATTCAGCCACCCAGGAGGGACGAGTTCCGAGCGCAGCTACAGTCTTTCATGGAGCGAATCCTTGCACAACTCGGGAGTTTAGAGACATCGGTTGCGTCTTTTGACAGTGAGCTCGGGGCTTTTGAGAGTCGGGCTGCAGAATTTGAAGTGAGACTTGATGGAATCTACGCACAGCTACTGGAGTGGATGGGGCAGCATGGATGTACCGATCCCATCTCAGTGCAAGATGTTGCTCAAAGGGAAACAGCCCGGGCACCTCAGGGGGACGACGAGGATGCTACACATGCAAATAATGACATTGCGGAGCCCAGCCCAGGACCGTCTAGGATGGACGAGCTCCGAAAGAATATGTCGTCTTTCGAGGAGCAAGTCCTTGCGGATTCCAGGAGTCTGCAGACAACGATTGGGTTTATTTACGGGTGGCTTGCGTCTCTTGATAGTCCAGTTGCAGACCCGGCAAACGATGAGGATGCTGCTACACACACAGATGATGACACTGCCAGGCCCAGCTCGAGACCGCCCTGGAGGGACGAGTTCCGAAATCAAATATCCTCTTTCGAGGAGCATGCCCTTGTGCAATTCGGGAGTCTGCAGGCATCGATTGGGTGTATTAACAGTCGGCTTGGGTCTCTTGATAGTCGGGTTACTGGACTTGAAGTGAAAGTTGCCGAACTTGAAGTGAAACTTGATGGAATCCGTGCTCGCCTCCCTCCAGCTCCACCTTCTAACCCGTCTCAGGCTCCTTGATTCAGAACAGGCGTGTTTAATTTTATGCAATTATATTTTTGCATTTAATTTACGACTTTATTTTGGGCCTTATAATCTGGGTTTTAAAGCTTGGATGCTTTACATTTCAGAGCTTTATCATACTCCGTATTAGTTTGTGCTTATATCTTGCTTCTTGCGTATACTTAGTATCATTAAAGCTTGTTTCATCTTGTACTTTTAAGTTTTGGGATAAGGTTTTTGTGTTAAGTTACTCTCTTTTTTTTTTGTTTGGGAATTGACATAACGACCAATTTGGGGGTTAGTGCCACATTTTGTGCACACTTGATATGCGGGATTTAAATAATAAAGAAAAAAAGGACATTAATTACATATCCATTATGGCAAATTTTACGGTGGGCTATTGTCTAAAACATGCTTTTTGTTTTAATGAAAAGAAATGGCACTCATTCGTCTAATTAATTCTGTTTGAATGAGTTTAATTTTAGGGAAAATGACACTTTTTCCTTCTGAGTTATATACTTATAGCGATTTTTCCCCCTGAGTTGTTTATGTAAGCACATTAGCCCCCTCAATTATTTTAAAAGTGGCGATTTCCTCCCCTAATATATTAAATTGACATTCTTACCCTTAAAGTAAACATTTTATTTATTTTTCTTCTCCAACAAATTATTGTTTATAAGTAGGGATGACCACGGCTCGGTTCGAACTGAATCGGACACTATAACAATCGAATTGAAAGTTTCCAGTTATGATTCAGATCCAGAACCCAATATTTAGATTTCAATTTATTAAAATTATGAATCAAAAAAAAAAAAAAAAAAAATTGAAAGTTTCCAGTTATGATTCAGATCCAGAACCCAATATTTAGATTTCAATTTATTAAAATTATGAATCAAAAAAAAAAAAAAAAAAAAAAAAAAAAAAACTGGATTCTGAACCGTGAACCTGCGGTTCCGGATCCGGTTTGTGATTTTGAATCGTCTTTATTTTAACATTTTATTTTTATTTTTAAAATAGTCTAAATTCAACAATAAATGTATTTTATTTTTTTCAGTTTGGAACTTGAACCGGCCGTTCCGGTTCGCGATTTTTAATAAACTCTAAATATCAAGTTTTGATTCTAAATTATAATTGGAATATTTCGGTTTAGTTGCTATAGTGTCTGCTCAGTTTGAACCGAATCGTTGTCATAATTTGTTGGGGAAGAAAAATAAATGAAATATTTGTTTTAAGGGTAAATATGTCCATTTAACATTTAAGGGGGGAAAATAGCCACTTGAATTATTAGGGAAAAAGTGCTATAAGTATATAAGTCATGGGGAAAAAGTGCCATTTTCCCTTAATTTTATATATATTATATATTATAGTTTTATTTCAATACAATTAAAGTATCATTGTCTTCTTTTCAAAAAAAAAAAAGTACCATTGTCAAATATCAACATGAGAATCCACGGCACACATCTTATAACACATGAAACATGTAAGAAAAAATCACTACTAAATATCAACAGACATTTGCAAGATTAAGAATTGATGATAGTACAATTAAGATTCTAGGGCTTTCTATACCATAATCTCATTGTTACCACCAGTAATTCAATTACACATGATACACTACCAATAAAAAAGAGTTAATACCATCTGAGGTCCTCTGAGTATAGTGGTTTTGCCACGTTTAGTCCTAACTTTCAAATTGACCATCTGTGATCCTTCGACTTTCAAATTTAACCATTCATGGTCCAAGTTAACCATCCATGGTCCTTCAAGTTCCGAAATTTAACCAGTCGTGGTCCTCTTGGGAGGATCATGGTTGGTTAAAATTTAATAGTTGAAGGACCAGAGTGGTTAACTTCGACCAGGGATGGTTAAATTTGAAAGTCGAAGTACCACAAATGAGTAAATACCAGCCAAGGTCCCTCAAGTTTGGTGGTTTCATCACCTATGGTCCCTAACTTCCGTAATTACCATCCATGGTCATCCGAATTGCAAAATCTGACCAGCTGCCATCCTTCCGTTAGTTTATGCCGTTTAAGCCGTCAAAAATGGGGTTTGAAAGGTCATTTGGCATATACTCCTCTTATTCTCCTTCATGATCCTCCTCCTTGCGAACATTCTTGAGCTTTATACTCAGCCGCCTCCATTGCCTCCATCAAACTACATCTGACCCTTCTTGATTATTGTTGCCTCTGGCAACTGATCCTCTAACTCTTCCACCATTGAAACAAACCCCAGCTACTAGTAAACAGATCGATGATCAATAAAGTGAGGCCGAGATGATGAGAGTAGATCTGCAGAAGTAGCTAAAGTACCTACATACATACAATCCGGCAACTGATCAATCACTAAGAAATTAAAAACAAAACTTTGTGCGGTGAATGATGAAATTGAAATTGAAATACGATTCAAGCAGGATGAAATTGAAATACAGATTCAAGCCAAAGAACGATAATTTTTGTGGTGAAGGATGAAGCAGGGAAGGATGGAATTGAAATACGGATGAAGGATAATTTGTGGGTGGAAGACGATGAAATTAAAATTGAAATTGAAATACGGATTCAAGTAGGATGAAATTGAAATAGGGTTGTTACTCGCCTGAAACACTTCGTCCTCATCCGCATCTCGAAGAAACTCATTTTCAACCACCATAATATGATCCAACCCTCCAAATAGAATGTTTTTAGATTTCGTTCATCACTGTCTCCTCCATGGATTTTAGTTTTGGAAAAGACCTATGGATTTCTCAAGGTCTGAGCATGGCGGAGGAGCAGAAATACCAATTGCCCGAAGGCCACCACCTGTGCGCCAACAATTGCAGCTTTTTCGAAAGCCCGGCGACGCAGAATTACTGCTCCAAATGCTACCTGGACATCTGCCTCAAGGGCGCCCAATCGAAACCTAGATAATTTGTGTGGTGATCTCCAACTGCGTGAAATTCTTGCTACCTTGCTCGGAAGCTTGCCGGAGTGGCCTCCTCCCAGCGTAATCTCATCTTCTCGCAGTGGTCTCGTCGCAATAGAACCGGCTCCAAGCTCCTCGTGACGTCGCCGATGAACTCCACTGTCCACCGCCTCCGAGTTCGTCGCCGGCTGCCTGCTTCGCTGCCTCAGTCGCTCACCGACAAACGGTACTCCTCTTCCGATCTGGAAAGTAGAATGCCGATCATTGCTTTGTTTTTTTTTTTTTGAATGTTTTATTTTATGGGAAATGACATATTTACCCTTATTTTTGACAGCTTTGACGGAAGAAATTAACGGGAGGATGACAGCCGGTCGGATTTTGCAACTCGGAGGACCATGGATAGTAATTACGGAAGTTAGGGACTATAGGTGGTGAAACCACCAAACTCGAGGGACCTTGGCTGGTATTTACTCTACCACAAATGGTCAATTTGAAAGTTTAGGACTAAACGTGGCAAAACCACTATACTCGAAGGACCTCAGATGGTATTAACTCTAATAAAAAATAAGAGTATAAGTACTAAAGATGAAGTAACTCAATTACATATGACCAGTGTTGTAAAAATCTCGCATAGGCACCGATTAATCGGCGCCTAGGCGCAAGGCGCCCCTAGGCCGTGGCAATTTCTCCCCTAGGCTCTCGCCTAGCGCCAAACTCGGCCGACTAGGCTGAATTCAGCGGAGTTAACTCGTACATTTCGGTCACGTTAGCCGAGTTAACCTGCCCGACTCGATCTTACTAATTTGTTTTTCAAGCTCGATTTTGACCGAATTAACCTGCCCGACTCGAGTTCGGTTCAAGCTCGATTTTGACCGAGCTCGAGCCAAGCTTTGACCGAGCGGCTCGCAAACCGCTCGTGAGCTGCTCGACTCATTTACACCCCTATTTGTGAGTTTGAGAGTTCGATATCCACACTTCTGAACATTTCTAATTTATATGGCATATATATTTATATTTATTAATTTATATAATTATATATATATATATATATATATATATATATATATATATATATATATATATATATAATATGACATATATGCACCTACAAATGTCCACTGTTTTTCTTATTTTTAGTTAGCCGCCTAGGCCCCGCCTAGACGACTGCCTAGGCGCTACTCTACCGTCCGACTAGCGCGTAGTGCCTACTGCAACCATGCATATGACACACTGCCAATAAAAAGGAAGAGAACAAGTACCGATGACTGACAATGTTATTCAAAAGAGAATTACAAAGACTTAGAGAAAATTCAAACTAAAAGTACTGAGTTAAATAAACAAATTTAACATTCAATTACTTATGCATGAACATATCATATATAATCTTGCATTGATATACTTTGAAGTACTTATTTAAAAATAAACATTTCGAGACATTATCCAATTCGCACAATGCGTGTAAAACATTAATAAAAATTAGTATACTACTACTACTCAACAAAGAAAAAAAATTTCATAAAAAAATAAAATACCAAATTTTGACAAAGAATTTTCTTTTTTTCTCAAATTTAAGAAATTCTACTTACCACATCGACGGCGTACCGGAAGTGGAACGGCAAGGGAATAATCCGGCAAATTATTGGGTGGATCATGGTCTATATAATTGCGTGGACTATAAATATCAGGTACATTTTTAATATATTAAAAGTACATTATTCTTTTACCGAAGGTACATTATATAAAATAATTACCCTTAGTATATTAAAAATGTACTTTCAAAAAATTACCTTATGTACATAAATAATGTACCATTAGTATATTAAAAATATACTTTTTATTTATGGTCCACATAATTGTGTGGACCATGGTCGATGCAATAATGAATTAATGATTGTCAACCCATGATGAAGATGTAAAGTTCCATGTTAGGCAATTTATATCGCGGATTAGTGTCTATATAGTATTGTGGACCCTAAATGGAAACAATATCGTTTTGATTTTTAGATTTTAATAAATTTTGAAATTTTTCTGATAGTCCATGTTGTGAGTCTATTAATCTATGATAAAATGGCGAGTTTGGTCCCTGAGTTATAATGGTAGTAACGACTTAGTCCCTTAGTTATGACCGTATCCCTTTTTAGTCCCTCAGTTATGAGTGAAGTGGCACATTTGGTTTATGACCATTAAAACTGACGGAAAAAAATATTTAAAATTTTAGGGGTAAAGTAGGAAATTCACTTTCTTATATTGAAACCACTTTTGC